ATGACTTTGACTTGAACATGACTACCATCTATTTCATTTGTCTGTCATATTTCTTTCGTTTCTCTCATTTCTGGTTGAGAGCCGTGGCAGGCATGGCCTGTCTTTTGCACCCTGCGAGTCTCAGGTGCTGGCTGATACCAAGTCTTCAAACAGTTCTTGTTGACCTTCAAGATGCTTCTTCCACCATCTGCGGGGGCTCCAAAATCATGGCGCTGCAGCCGCTGCTGCACACTGCAGAATCCATTCCAACATCTTCCAATCATATTCACGGGAGAACGTGTGCAACGTTTCACACGACATGGTCCTGTCTGCCTTCAGAAACAGTGTGAGGCAGGCAATAAAAGGGCCTCACACCTGCAGCAAACAATTGGCCCCATGCCTCTGCAAAATTATACAGGCTTCTGTCTCGCAGAGCGCCTTGCACAAAGACACGCTGTTTCTGAGAAGCAACATCGATGTGAAGAATGAATTGCCAGAGTCCACAAATCGACGCACGCAGATTAGACCCAAAGTTGCAAGCCAATGAAAGCATCTTCGAGCTTTGCAGAGTAGTAGATTGCAGGAATTCCAGTGAAGCTCAGCTTGAGACAAGACAAGTCATTTTCCATTTTCCATACTGATATGCATTGCGAGAAAATGTTTGGTGATTTTCCTCGATCATCAAGCTCTTGCAGATGCTCTGGACTACTGATTGAGGCAGCATCGCTTCTGGCTTTCTGCCTTCTTGCCATTAGCGTGAAAGACCTGTCGCAAGTCTTCGATTCAAGTTGAGTCACAAAGTTCTCACTGACCCCCATTGCGAAAGCTTTCAAATTCCTGGTGCAGGGAATGGATGCACCTTCTTGTGCATACTGGCCCTCAGCAGTTCGTTCTGGGACGTTCTTCTTATAAACTCCCGTACGCCACTTTGCATGGAACATATGGACCAAGACCCTAGCCACTTCGCGGTATAGTTGCTGAACAGCCCAGGTAGAGAACCACAGGTACCAAAGTGGTGATTATTACAGGCTGGAACAAACTGATTTTTTAACTGGCATCTGAGGTGTATACGTGTCTCCTCTCCTTCCAGTTTCCTTACCCTAAACCAACCCACACCATCCCACACCTGGGTGTTTTCATTGCCATTCTCTGATTGTGTTAAGGGGCTGAACATCTCGGCCTGCAAGGCACTGCGCAGATGCCGAACGCTTTGAAGGCAACAACTGATGTCTTGATGAGTCATTCAGGGGCTGGAGGCGGCTGAAGATAACAAAGAACAGAGAACATCCAAGAACGGCTCATGAGTTGTAGCAAAGAATATCGCCGTCCTTGGCCCCTTGATGAAGTTTGATAAACAACCAGAGTTTGGCTGGAAGGGATGTTTGTCATTCATCGTGCTTCTAGGTTGCACAGGCAGGAACGCCGTACGCAAGCATGAGAAAACCCATGGCAGCAAAATAACAATGATTTCGCTGGGTGATAATCCGAAGTAATAAGGGGGCTTGCAACATCTTGGAACCACATGAAAATTGCAGGTTTTTAGCTGACTCACAAGAAAGTCTGTTGCGGTCCGAGTCCAGATCATTGACCCACACCAACTTTGTGAGTTTGCCAACAAGTTGCTGTGTATCTGGGGATTTCAATGGTATGTTTTTTTAATGCCAGGAAGAACTACTCGCCAGGGGCTGTGAGACATGTTGTTTTTGACGCGATTGCCCACAGCAGTTCCCATACAAACAACTTCTCAACTATTTACTACCACTCAGGCAGTGTACAATGGGGAATATATAAAGATGTCAAGACCTCTATGCTATATACAGTATCAGTATCTAAGCCGGCATGGTTGTACTGCACCAAAGGTGCGAATGTGAAACTTGCAACGTAAGTGCAAACGAATCGTGAAGCAAACTGTAAACATCGACATTGCAAGCGTGCGAGCAGAAACATAATCACGCTTTCATACTTTTCTCATGTAGTCAATAGATGTCAATAGTCTGTCTCTGCCAACCGTGAAAGGCTTGAAGTCTCAAAGGCGTGCACGACCCCACGAAACTCTGCACGCATCGTGCCAGGTCTTCGAATCGTCCATTTTCGCAAGCTGAATCTGCGTCGTTTCATGCTGCCATGCAATGGCCATGCAATGCCTCAAATGAAATAAACTGTGCAGCTGAACGCCGCATTCAGAGGCAGGTTGGAATTCTTTATGAGGACCTCATGCGGCTTTGTTCCAAGCAAATTCTATTCCTCCGATCCAGCATCTGTTTACGTCTGTTTTCATTCTGCTTGGGGCTCTTGTTTGTGTAAAGAGTTTGTTTTGTGTTCATCTGTGTGTACTCTTGGCGGTGTCGTGCTTATCTGTTCTGCTTGTCTTTTGATGTCTTTGCCTGCTATGTATTGGTTTCCTTGCTGGGTACCATCCGTTCACATTGATTTGCTGTTCATTGTGTGTATATATATATACATAGATATACATAGTATATTCATCTTCATCTTCATCTTCTTCTTCTTCTTCTTGTGATATTAATATTATTATATATAATATATATAATATAATTTGAAATAATATACAAATGAGGAACTGATGAGTTAGGTCTTGTGGCCTCTTGTGAGATGCAGCTTTCTCAAGGACCAATCCTATCTCATGTGTCCACTGTTTGAAGTGCTTATGGGGCGTTGACTGGAGTAACCGCATGAGTTAGGAGTTTCGGTACATTGGTTTTGCCCAAAACTCCCAACTCATGTGCGCTGGACCCGCTCTGAGACCTGCATAAACACCTTGATAAATGATCAAGACCTCAAGTTTTGTGACAGCAGCAAAGGCTGATGAGATAGAAATATTACAAGGGTTCTGAAACACAACAGTCCTCTCTCACATGCTTTCAGTGGAGCATCTTTTTACCTTGTTGCGCTCATGTGCCATGTAAATTTCCTGGGTCAAATTCCCAAAAGTCCTATCTACAATTTTTTTTGCCTTGTTGCACCCCTGTGCCATGTAGATTTCCTGTATCAAAACCCCAAACGTCCTATCCCGCATGCTTTCAGTGGTCAGTGTTTTTCCCTTGCTGCACCCATGTGCCATTAGATTTCCCGGATCAAAAACCCAGAAGTCCTCTCCCACATGCTTTCAGTGGCCCATTTTTTCCCCTTGTTGGACCCATGTGTATGCTTTCACTGTTCCATCTTTTTCCCTCGTTGCACCATGTTGCACCCATGTGTCGTTCAGATTTTCTGTTTCAAAAACCGAAAAGTCCTATCTCACATGCGTTCAGTGGCGCATCTTTTGTTTGCCTTTCGTTCCGCTCGTGTGCCATTGAAATTTTCGGGGCCAAAACCCATATTTAAATCAAAAACAAGAGAACACAGAGTGTTTTCAAACATGTTTTTTCAACCATTTTTGTTTAAATCATTTTCCTGTAAACAAGAACGACCGATCTGAAACAGTTCTTCATATATTAGCAATTTCTCACTTTTCCGCTGTGCCTCCCCGGTGTGTTTTGCTTCTTTGTTGTTCCCCCCCGGTGTCACTGAGCACCGATGGAATTGATCCGGCCCGCTCTCCTGCCGCGCCGCGGTGATCCACCCAAAAATCACCACAGCGCAGAAGGAGAGCGAAGTCCCTGTGCTACACCCCGTGATCCCTGAGGCTCAAAACAATTGGCATGAAATCCATGAGACGGGACCCCTTCATGGTATGTACACACTACAGTCCCAACACATGTGTTATGTGAACATACTCCAAATCAGCCCTAAGTCCTATCTCATGTGTCCAAAGCCTAGCCTATATCATTGAAAACCATGGACGGAGGTGTCCTTCAAATGACTAATAGAACCACATGTCATGAGATAGGAGTTTGGCACCCTCAAAGGGCAAAAACTATACTTTACTCATGAGATAGGAAATAAAAAACTCGATCCTCCGACAAACCCTATCTCACTTGTACTGACTCTTCTCGATTGTTCTGCTATGTGGGCAACAACTTCGTGCTCTCTCTCTCTCTCTCTCCTGCTTCTGCGGGTTGTTCTCATCAGTTGTACTGGGCTTCAGTTTCTCCCCGGGAGATGCAAGGAATGGCAAGCACTATTGATATTTGGTTTTTGCAAGTAGCTTCTGCACCTGCATTTCTCTTTGCTCACTACTTCAGGTTTGCTCACTCTTCCTGATGAACTTTTCGACTCTGACTGGTTGTAAGGAGTACGAAAACGAAGCCGCAGCAAATTCTGTGCAGGTTTGACCTGTCTACATCAATTGTGAAACCTTCTTTGGATCCACTGCCGCTACTAAAGGACCCTGAAGGGTACGAACTGAACGAATCACCAGCTCCGAGACTCGTGGCTGGTGGTTCTCAGGAACCTTCCTTCAAATTGGCCCTGGCTTAAAAACAGCGCAGTTCAGAGGGCTGAAGGCAAAAATGCCTCGAAATGCATCGGATTTTGTTCGAACTTATTCAAATTTGTAATTTGCATTCGTTTGTCATATAATTTTGATCTTTCGCCAGCTGCATAAACACACATAGTTGTATAGTGTTGTATACTATGCGAATAGTACATCAACACAGTCAACGCTCTGGTGAGTTTGAGTTCAAAGAAACTTATGAAACGTATAACTTATCACTGCAGTATGTGTGAAACAGTAAATCTTTTGCGTGACAAGGAAAGCTCCTGCTGTCAAAAAAACATTGGCTTCCTTTCAGCCCTTGACCCAGCGCCAATTAAATAGTTGTTTGTTCCCCCAAGTCTGTCTTGGGAAAAATATGCGTCGAGGAGGAACTTTACAAGATTTCAGGACGCTACCTAGACCATGTGGCACGTGAACTCTGCCTGCCTTATGCTACGCAAGGGCAAACCACCCACGTGCCTTAAAGAAGGGTTGCTTGCCATCTAAGGCAAGGGCAGAATCGACAAGTGCATGCAATGGGGAGTCCCAGGCTTCTTGAAACACCATTGATAAACTATTGACATCTAAGAATCGAAATACGAAATATGCGTAAACATTTTTGGTAAACATACACAACTTAATCGATAAACATTCGTTCCTTGAAAGAACTTGAGGATCTCCTCACGTGGATCAATTGTCCAACCTTGGCTCGGGTCATTTGCGTTGAAAGGAAAGGAAAAACTGATTTGGGCGAAATGCAAACTTCACACAACGGTTGTTGCCAAAGAAGTACCTAATTCTAAATATCACATCCTTTAACCTATTTCTTTCATACTAGCATGATCGAAATTGCTTGGTCGACATGTTGCATTCTTTCGGATGATTTATCCCGGCTTTGCAGTACACCAAGCCCAATTGTCTCCAGAGGAATGTGCCCGTTATGCTCCATGCCCTCCATGCTTGTCGCAATCTGATGCATTCTACATTCTGGGCTTTCCACCATGGATGACGCAGCAACTCTGAGGCGGAAGGTCGGCGCTCGGGTGTCCGTTGCAAGCCTTGTCAGAGTGATAGCTTTGTCACCGGTACCATCGGGCTCCTGTCTAACTCCTCATCTTGGAACAAGGCAAGAACTCTCCAGGAAAAAGATAAACAAGCCACTAGGAGGGATTTGGGGTAGTACATAGCCTAGGAACAGACTGCGTTATCCCATGCCGCATAAAACCCCCGAAAGGCGCAAGGCTGAGCTGGCCACAGGCTCGAAGGAAAGCATCAGCTGCCTACGAAAGTTGAGACTTATTACAAAAAACCAGAACAGCGACGACAAACTACAAATTCAAACAGAATCCAGCATCTTGTGTTCGTCTTGCCAGAAGGAAGAGAAATATGCAGTAATTACACCATATGATAATCACCATATTACACCCATGGTGTTCAACCTGCAATCATCCGCCACCAAACATTCGCAACAATGACAGAATGGGTCAAAGATGGACTTCAAAGTGACCAAAGCAACACTTGAAATTGTGTCGGATGAGGCGTGTCAAAAAGATCGGAATATCTTTGCCAGGGGAAACCGCGCTACCGCTTCGTACGTTCTTCTGTCTTTAGATGTCTTTAGGAAGATATTCCCAACAGAGCTAGTGCTGGGTTTCAATCTCTGGGGCCGGGGAGTGGTGCCACGAAAATGCATCCTTGCTGGAACCTTGCTGGAACCGTCTTGGAACTATCTTGGAACCTTCGTGGAAGCGTGCTGGAACCATGTTGGAACTCTGCCGGAACCTTGCCAGAACCTTTTTGAAACTCTGGCTGGAACCTCCTGGAACCATCTTGACAGCACGTTGGGAAACTCTTGTGGCGTTTCGTTTTGGTGCGTATTGTTTCCGCTGTTTTTTTTGTCTTCTTGCTTCGTTTCAATGCTTTCTGGCTTTGCTTAATGTGCTGGGTTCTTTCAGGTAATGGGGAGGCAGGGCGCACACTTAAAGATGAAGCTCTTCTTCTTGGAACTTGTTGCTGGTATTCCTGGCTGGAGTCTAGAACTCCTGGAGTCCTGCTGAAGCCTTTTTGAAACCTTGCTGGAACCTTCTCGAAAAAATCCTGGCACCCTTCCGGAACCATGTGAGAACTTTGTTAAAGGCGCTGCAGGTGTGGGTCCAGTAATTCTTCTTCACTGTCTCTTGCTTGGCTTAGCAATGACTTTTGCTTTTCTCTGGGGGTTCAGAATATGACATGAAGATTTACCTGGAAGCCTGCATGGATAACTGAATCTTTGCGCCAGGTCCCGAATGGCTTCAGGTATAGGGGTTGAAATGGTAAATGCTTGCAACAGAAAGAGGGCAAGAACCATAGCTATTGAGGATTATTGAGGTATGTATTAATCCCCAACAGCGAATCTGTTGGGTTTCAATCTCTGGGGGCGGGGAGTGGTGACGCGAAAATGCACGCCCGGAAAAACCGGAAAAACCGGAACAGCCCTGGAACCTTGCTGGAACCTTGCTCGCAGCCTTGCTGGAACCTTGCTGGATCGTTGTTGGAAGATTGCTGGAACTGTGCTGGAACCTTCCTGGAACCTTTTGGAACCTTCTTGGAACCTGTGCTGGAACCTTGCTGGAACCTTGCTTGCAGCCTTGCTGGAACCTTGCTGGATCGTTGTTGGAAGATTGCTGGAACTGTGCTGGAACCTTCCTGGAACCATTTGGAACCTTCTTGGAACCTGTGCTGGAACCTTGCTGGAACCTTCCTTGGAACCTTATCGGATTTGTGCTGGAACCGTGCACGTGGAAACTTCCTGGAACGTTCCTGGACTTTTGCTGGAACCTCACTGGAACCATGTTGAAACTTTTGCGTTTCCACTTTGGTTACGGTCTGGTGCCCAGTTGTGATTTTGAGCCCGAAGACAAGTTTTAGAGTTTTATAATATTTGTTTTTTTTCTGCGTTGTTTGCTTCGTTTCCATGATTCTTCCTTTGCTTCATGTGCTGGGCTGTTACAAGCACTTGGGGGGAGCACTCTTAAGGATGAAGATTCTTTGAACCTTGATGGAATGCTTTACTATTCCCAAAAGCCCAACAGCCATTCTCTTGGGTTTCAATCTCTCAGCCGAAAAGCAGTGCCAGTAAAATGCCTGCTCCGGAAAGCCCAAACACTTGCTGGAACCGAACCCTGCTTGGAACTCTGCTGGATTATTGGAACCTTGCTGGAACCTTGCTGCAACCTTGCTGGAAAGTCGCTCAAATCTTGCCGCAACCTTGCTGGAGCCGTGCTAGAACTCTGCTGGAACCTTGCTGGAGCCCTGCTAGCTGGAACCTTGCTGGAAAGTCATTGGAACTTTGCTGAAACTTTGCTGGAACTTTGCTGGATCCTGGTGCCTCCGGCTGGAACGCTGGAACATTTTGCTGGGAACCAATGCGGGTGTCGATTTCGTTGTTCTTTTTACATTCTTGCTTCTCTTAATGTGCCGGGTTGTGAGGTTGGAAGTCTGGCTTGAACTTTGCTGGAGCCGGGTTGCAACCTTGCTATTGTTGGAACCTATATGAGGACAACTTCTGGATTTTCTTGGGGTTTTTCTTTTGTGATGGCGGGCAATCAAAGACGACGATCCCTTGCTGAAACTGTGATGCTGGAATCCTTGCCTGAACCTTTGAATGAACCTTTGCTGGAACCCTGGCATGAACCTTGCTCTCCAGGGCTCCAAGGTTGCAAGGTCACGGGGCAAAGTTCCAAGCTTGCACCAGGATCATAAGGATGCAGGTTGCCAAGGTTCTAGGATTTGTTCAAGATTACAGGGTTCCAAGATTTAAAGGTTTCTATCGTTCCAAGATTCCATCGTCTATCGTTCCAATTTTTTCAGGGTTCCAGGGTTCCAGGATTTAATGACACATGAAGCAACTCCACACATTAAGCAAAGAAAAATGCAAACTAATGAAACAAAACTCTGACTAAATCTGCAAGTTTTGTTACAGTAAGGTGTCCGGAAAAGTTCCCGTAAGACTTTCTACAAGGAATTCTTGCGAGGCATTCCTGCAAGGGCTCCAGCAAAGGGCTTCTGCTCTGGAACCCCTAACTCTGAAAGCTTTGAAACTGTGGAAACCTGCAACCTTAGAAATCCTGCAACCCTGGAGCTCTAGAACCATGGAGCCTCAAGCTTTACCTGAAACAATATGGGTCCCTTGGTCCATGGAATTTTGAAACCAGGAAACTTGGAGTGTTGGAAGTATGAGCGTCTAGTGTCATGGACTTGTGGAACCCCAAACTTGGTCTCTTGCAATTTTAGAGCCTTGCTACCCTGCCTGGAAACCGAGAACCCTGTGAAAAACTTTGAACCTTTCACCTTCTGAAACTGTAGGGCCATACTGCCCACATTGTGTTCTTTAATTCCAGCAAATTGAAGCAGCTCTATTGTGTTTCGCGTTTGCTTTGCATTGCGCTGGTCATTTCGTTGTTAATGAATCAAACCAAGACCCTTACAAGTCTGGAACCTTGATGCTTGGAACCTTGAACCCTGGAAACTTGGAGTCCGAGAACCCTAGTAATCTAGAAGTCTGGACTGGAACCTTGGAACTTCCAAAATCTGCAACCTTGTAATCCTGGAAACCCGCAACTGTGGAATCTTGGAGCCCTGCCAAACTTTGGAACCTTATCTGCCTGATGACATTGCAGCCTTGGAACCCTGGAACCTGCTGTTGGGTTGCAAAGCACCTATATATGTGTATATTACAATTGTATACACACATATACATGTGTACATTGGGTGGGGTGGGCAAATAAGGTTCACGTTGACTTGCACACGCAGTTGATGCTACGCTAGAGATTCGCTACGCCAGACATGACATTCGCTTGTTATAATTTTAAAAAAGTATTCACTATTCAAACTTATATAAAAAAGACAATGGAAATACTGAAGCGTTTAAAAAAGTACCCCAAATCGGGCCCCAAAATGACATGAAACATAATGTTACAAATGTGCTTGGCACTCTGTTGAAGAAAATCATCCTTTTGTGAGCGCAGAAATCACCCCGGTGGAATATCTTTGACCTGGAAAAACTATGAAAACTGAATTGACCTGGCCTCATCTAGCTCAGGGATGGGAGGAATTGCGTCAGTCATCGAGATGTGTTTCAACGCATACATCACCTCAGCTTGCAAACACACACACACACCAAAAAAAACATCCACACACACAAGCATCGCAAGCATGCGCAGAGCCAAACTGGAAAAAAGGTATCCTATACGCACGCTGCTGTGCAACTGTGTCCCAATTTCAGCAACATTGAAAGCAAAAGTGGTTCCGTGACGTTGGCAGATTGGATCGAAAACTCAGAGATCTTGGAATGATTTTGAACCATTTGGGATCTACCTGAAAAGAAATGCAACCAACTACAAAACCTGCAAGCACAACATCACTGCAAACCGTTCAGGCGTTGGAGAAGGAATGACTTGAATGACTTCGCGTGGCAAAAAGCAAGTAAAAAGCAAGTAAAAAGCGAGTTGCATTCTCAAAAGCGTCTTTCCCCCACGGATTCTCCTTGGCTCTCAGGTGAACATCCATTTTCCCGAATCGCATTACCAAACAACTGCAATTGCCAGCTTCATCTAACCAAAATGTGTGGCATCCACAAAGAAACGAAATAATGTGAACAATTCTAATACAACATGGTATCTGCATGCCTCAGCTACAAGTACCAGCTTGGCATCAACACCTAGCTCTTGCAGCCAAAGTTTACAAATGGTCAAGAGGCACTAAAATCTGGAACAGAGTTGCAGCGACTTTGGAACTGAGAAAGCTGTGAGGTTGCCAACAAATAATTCGTTCTGTGATTTTCTGTGATGCGGATTGATGTGGTTTGTTTTAGATTGTTTTAGCACATCCTTCAATCGTTCTCAGGCCCGGACCGCTGTTGCCATCTCAACCACTGCGCATCCAAAGCTCCATAGATCCGCCTCTCCATCAATTGCAACCGAGCGGATAATCAAAAATCAGCCAAAAATTCTTGGTCAATTTTTGAACGGAATGACATGCGCATGGAGAAACTATGAGAAACTCCAAATATCTCAAACACTGCCCAAGCTCTTGCATTGACTGCAATGCCTGTGCACAAGTGCACAAGTGCACAAGCACTTGAACACAGAGGTGGACACAGTCAAAATGATCAAAATATGTCAAAATGACAAGCGATGGCATCGACCATGCGATGTGGTGTGCAATTGCCCGAGTCCTTCGAGCACACCATCGCATCAGCAGGTTACGCTTGAACGCAGTCTTGCAGTAAGGCAATGCCGCTACGGCCGCTACGGAGCAGAGGAGAGGAGAGGAGAGGAGAGGAGAGGAGAGAGAGAGAGAGAGAGGTAGGGAGAGAGAAACTAAAAAGATACAATTATATAAAATACAAGGCGTGCATCCGAAAGTAGAGCACGGAGTTACACAAACAGCCCATACATGCCAACACGGTGTAGAAAGACCACGCTGCTGTCCGTTGCAAAAAGACAGTGCCACAGGAATTGCCAGAATTTATAGAGTGAAAAGGACACCAACATTACCAAAACAATCCCTACAGATCCCTAGATATACGCTTCAAACAGACTCCGATTCAGATCTATACAATATACTGTAGATACTTTTAGACATGTTAAGACAACATATACTAGCGAACCTCGAGATGTGGCCCGGCATTGCCTCACCCGTGCAAAAACCTAAGCCCGAGTCATCAAACTTGGCAGTTGTTTGCCTTCCTTCCATAGCCATCCCGCTGCAAGATCACCTGAAGCAATTTTCTGACAGGCTGATGCTCCACATGTTTCATGCTGTAAGAATGACATGAATATTATGCGATGTTACAGTCTTGTGGCCCTGCTTCCAAGGCAAAGAAAAAAGTAGATGCACCCGTGATGCAAACAAGCATCCGCATGATTGTCGAGACTCTCGGAAGAAAATATTTGCATTATGCAATGGAGAACCAGCTAAGCAAACATGTTTTGATCAAGACTTGCCTAAGTCTTGAGTGTCTTCAGGAAATACATGATATCACAATCTGTAATGGAGCATGTAGGACAGTATAACATAGATTAGCAGATTAACAGATTAACATAGTATCAGAGCATATCATACTGAACCCCCAAATCATTGCCTCAGGTGCCATCCAAGGAATCGATCCGATGGTGGTGAAAGATTTGGTAAGGTCCTCCACTGCAATGGTTGCATGATGCAAACATATGCAAAAATGACATAAAATGACGAAATGCCAAAGACGTCAAAGTGGTCTCACAATCAAAGATGTCAAAATATGTCAAAGACCCAAATCACTGTTCTTCAACTGTTCTTCAACTGTTCTTCTGTGTCATCATCCGTATCATGGCCGAGGACATCGCTGTCTGCATTGTCAGCAAGGATGGGTCGGGTGCAAGCAAGAAGCAGCCAACCGAGCTTTCCAAACACATTTGGCAGTCAAAATTTCGCTATCAATGATACTTGGAGTCGAAAAAAGCAAGTTGCAATCAAAAGGCTTTGATCCAAATGCTCGACTTTTACAAAGGACACTAAACCTTTAAGAATTAAAACATTGAGGATCAACCTGGATATTATACGATGCCAATGGATTAGACCTTGATTAGAGCAATTATATTGGACCATTGCAATAATATATTGTAATCATTGCAGTATATTGCAATATTATTGCAGTCATTACATTCTGCCAGATCGGCCAGTTGCTTCGAAGCTCCTCTTTCTTGGAGCATCCGAAGTCACTGAGTTTCACCTGCGTCACTTTACTCCAGGACTCCACGTACCAAGCACTGTTCTTCCAATTTCTTCCATGTCTCCATATGTCTCCTCTGTTTTTCTCAACTCAGGAAGCTCTGCTTTCACATCTAGCGAAGGCTGGTGCAACATCCCCAACACGGGGGTTACCATGACATGGAAGTAGCATAGTTACACTGCGATAAGATTAAGCGGTGACCACAACATGGCACCAGCAGATATCCGAACAAAACTCAACCGGCATTTTTTTCAATTCTTGTGAGAGAAGGATCTAATTCTTGAGAATTTGTATAGTATAGCAAAACCACTCCTGTTGAGTCTGAAAATCTTACGGCCTGTTGAGGACAAGTCTTGTGGCTTGTTTGGAAGCGCTTTGAGGCCAGCACGTTAAATCTTAAGTCAACAAGGATATTTGCGCCTTTGATGTCTCCTTGGACACAGGCTGCACATTTCTGTCCTGTCTGTCAGTTTGACATGCAACAACTGCAACAACTGCAACATATCAATGTTGTGAAGTCTTGGACCAAGGGCTGGAACACGATTGAACGCGCGGCACACATTTCCCTGCTCTCGGCTTCGGCAAAGTCTAAGCGAGTCTAATCTGACCACTCCCAAGCCTTTCGGTTTCTCCTTTGACCGTCCACGCTGCCATGAAATTAAAGAGTTGTCAACCGTTTCTCAGCAATTGTGTACAGTGTAGAGCATTGATTGTGCACCCAATCAGAAGCTACCTGTGGGATACAAAAAAATGATGCCAATTTGTCTGTCTTGTTTTAAAACACAACTATTCTGACTATTTAATAAATTTCGCCTTGAAAGGCAGTGGGAATTCTGGAATATCTTGGAATCTTGTCCGATGTGTGCCAAAGCGCGATGTACAACTGGTGGGTTCTGAGTGTGGAGGTAGTTCAAGCCCTCCAGGACACCTTCAGTGCACTGCTTAAGCAAAGGCCCAACCTGAGCACAGTTCCCCGCAATTAAACGCGCTTGGACATGCTTGAAGTGTCTAGACACTAAAATCATTTAAAATCAATGGAAAAAGCCAACAGCCAAGGATCAAGTGGCCCAAACTCTTTCAGCAAGGTGCTCATAGAACCACCTGGTACCTTAGCAGGTAAATCAGGCAATTGTGAGACAAGCTCATGTAATACATATATATATATATAAAATATATTATAATATCTGGACATGCAAAAAAATCTTGTGAACTACTCCGCAAAAGGGCACAAGCAAGACCACTGAACTGCCAACATCGCCAGTATGTGGAACAATGTGTTGTCGGAACCCAATTGCGCGTAGTCTGGAAGGCGTCACCCGCTTGAGTGCCCTTAAAAAATATTTTGTTGAAAGCGGACCAAAAATCTACGAACGTTTTTGAGTCTCAAAGTCCACGGTGGGCCTCAAAAGAAGCGTACTTCATGCCCGCCATTGATTATTTGCTTTTGACCACGCTTAGGAAAGAAACATGTCTTCCGACCAGCGGCATATTCCAAGTAAATGTAGAAGCTATCCTTTTTGCACTCAAAGCCCAAACATGTCACGATATTTGGATGGCGCAAGTCCTGCAAACAGACCGGAAGTGTTTGATTTGCTGGCACTTCATGTGGTCGGAATCCACTATTGTGCCCAGAAAGTGCGGAAACTGGGCACTCAGCAGCCTTGGAAAAACATTCTAATTGTCTTTTCGCATTCAAACCTTTTTCGAGCAAATGATCTTTCCCACGTTATATATATATATACATGTATATATATATATATATGTATATATATATATATATACGTATAGTACATTATAGTACTGTAATTTGTGATTTGCGTAAATGCAGTGGATGGAACAGGTTCTGATTTTGCATACAGTCATGATCAGTCATGGATATGTTTGATTTGATACACTGTAACGGATACAGTATGTAGATCGTAGCATGACGTAGCATATCTGCTTTGGATCGTTACTGGAAAACCTGCACAAATACGTTGCATTCTTTTCTGGACTGTAAAAATTGGTCAAATACGAACTAGAGAGACATGTTCTGCTGGCCCCCCAAAAAAAATCATGAGGAATGTAGCCAACGTGTGAATCTGGTCAGTGAAACTCCATCTAGTTTCTCACCAAAGCGAACCTCTCCTTGCAGATCCGCAGTTCGGCTTCCAAGCGTTCCCTGCAAATGACAGAAATCGGGAAGTTTCTACGCGAGGACTTGTGATAACTTGTCATTGCTGTCATGGACACTCAAACGTATCCACAGAAAAACATTTGCATATCTTTGCACTTGGCTCATTTTGGTTTCATAGACTTGTTCCAAGAATAGCAATATCACGGACATTCAAAGACTCAATCGACAGGGCTCTCCTTTGCGTTTCGGGCGTTTGGGTGGTGCCAGCATGTGCCAGCGCTCCTGAATGTCTCATCAGCCTCTCCACCCAGAGGCGACTGCTTGACGGCAAAGATGCGACCTTCGGATTTGCATGGTTTTTCCAAAATGTCCAACAACATTAAAATGAAACTTATGAAACTTCGATTTAGACTTTTAGACCACTGTGTTGCCCACAATCAAGACCATCTTCAATTTTCAAGCATTTGTTGTGTGTGTGTGCAAGACATGTTTAGATTTCATGCTTCATTATCAAGTGTCCGTCACATCAACTTTACTCAAGCTTGGCTCTCAATTGAGATCTAGCTGAAAAGATCCAACGCTGCGATTCTTCTAGTGGTGAGTGCTGATTTGAAGTGTTTCTACTCAGGTTCTCTGTTCCGCAACAGTTTCGCATTTCTGCCAGTTGCGCCTGTCTTTTTTTCCAAGGCTTTGAAAACCTCCAGTAGCCGGTCAAGTTCACACGGTCTCTGAAATGTCACAATGTTGCGCCAGCTGTTCTCGAGGTTCAAGGCATAGCTGCACGCGCGCTGCGTGGGTTCGTGCGCCACTCTGCGTGACCAGTTTCATCTGGCATAAAATCTTCAGCTTCAATTTTGCTTGTTTTGGATTCACGTGAAGTGTCTGGAATAGTAAAATATCGATTAATCAACTCTGACTGACACCGACAAATTGGCTTGGATGGGGCAGCAAAGAAGGTAATAGATACGAAATCTACAAGGACCTTCTGCCCCCGCGCAGAGGGGAACCAAGTAGGATGTAAACTTGAGGTCAAATTGTCAACATGTCTGCGTTCAATCACTGGCGTGTTTCAGACTGTGCGCCGTACCCAACCTACAACTTGGACAGTGTAAAACTCTGCGACAATCGACAGCACAGTGACATACAGTGACACTTCGCAGCTTTCTCCGAGCAGCACAAGCGTGAGCCCCTTGTCCAATGGCGCTGCCACGGACCCATCCAAACGTCCCGGCCGTGATTGCCTTACGACTTGGTGGAGCCACAAGGGCGCCACTGCAGCACAAATCTGAACAAATCCTAGGATGCTATTCCAAAGCTGCGTTCAACTATATGAATGGCGTTAAACTGCTAACTTATCTAGAATCTAGATTATCTAGATTCTTTGTGACTATTTATGATTAGTTTAGATTCTAGTTCTTGGTTCCATCTAGCCTGAATCTGGGTCAATGGTCTCAACCCATACCTCTGTGCAGGTCCTGACACATGGAAAGAGCTAGGCCGCCAGGCCTAAGACATCTCTAAGAGAGAGATCTAAGAGATCTCTATGAGATCTCTCTATGAGATCTAAGCCGAATCATCCGAATCTAAGCCACTTAAGTCTGGTTAAAGGCGAGGCGGGAGCGATAGACCGGATAGATTCGGATAGACTCATGTCATGGCTCCACAGGCTCCACGGGCCGCCCACCAGTGCCTCCAACACCGTCGCATCCTCTCCCTCGACCACATCAGATGTCGGAGTGCGTGTTGATCGTGTTGAGCTTGAATAATTTGAATAGGAACCTGAGAAACGCAAGGAAATGCAAAAGAAATGCAAAACCAGTACATTTCAACCGTTTCAATGTAAATACACCACTCCCTCGCAGGACAGACTTGATGACTTGTGAACTGGAAGTTATGGAAGTCGTGTTGCTCATCTGCTGAAGCAAAGGCCAGGCAAACAATGGCAAGAACTGCAAGAGGCCCTGTTTTGCATTTTCTCAATAAGGATTCACAGTGTTTTGAGACATGAGGATGCAAAGAAACACTTTGTACCTTCAAGATCACAAACTTTTGATAGATGTCACTAGACGTCACTAGACGTCACTAGATGTCACTACGTAGCAGACAAAACCCTGTCTCTTGCCTGCTTGCGACAGTCCATCTGAGGAGGTTCGGCGTGGCAAGCCTGGACTTCTGTGATTCGATTCCCACAGTCCTACATGGTCCTACCAGTCGTCCGACATGGTCCGACAGTGGTGCTTCAGGATCTTCATGAAGTTTTGCTTCCAGGCTGCAGCGGCAAGGTCCCACGGAAGGTCCACGGACAGGTGAAGTATGTGAAGTGCAATCAGTTTGGCTAGTTTGACTAATTTAGTTTAGTTTCGTTTTGCTTAGATTCGTCTAGTGAAGTGTAGTCTTGTGATGTTTTGTGGAGTTTAGTTTATTTTAGTTCAGTTTAGTTTAGTGTGGACGTGTGGTAACCAAGGATCCACGATGACTTCCCATCCTCTGAAAGCACCTGCACTGCACGCATGGCGACTCTGGCGATGGGATTTGCCTCAGAATCGTTGACTTCACTCTTGGAATGATCATCTGCATCGCTACAATAGAAGTGTTGCCCCCGCGAGTGGCTCTGACAGCAACTTGTCAAAGACCGCCACGTCAAATCACTTCTTTTCTGATTTCTTTTATGTCTCGTGGACTGTTGCACTTCGTGCCCAGGGTTCGCACGCTTGCGACGCTCTTCTGGGGCAGATGCAGGCGCCGGCGGGAAATCCAGAGGGCCAGTGGCCTCTTCCAAGACTCTCAGGAAAACATGGAAAACTCAAAAAATACAAAGAACGAAGAGACCAGATGAGAGATGCGACAGGGTCCCGGGAGGTCGTCTCAGGTCGTCCGAGCTCGTCTCAGGAGTCCAAAAACTGTTGGACCCGGGCCCGGGCTCCTGTCACTTCTTTGCTGGGTATCTATGCTTTACATGCTTTTTCAAGCATGTCTGTTGAAACGCTCTCAAATTCGAAGTGATTCATTTGTCATATTTGTCACCAAGGTCCTTTTAGGTTTTTCGTTTATATAGGTCCTTTTGGTCCACAGCATGTAATGGGACCCAATATCCGCGAGTTCGCCTGGCTCTCGCGGCTCACTGGGGCACTCCAGCGGCCGTCCTTCTGAAAAGCAAAGGAGTTTGGTCGTTGGTTTGAGAGCCCTAGTTGATTCAGCTTGGTAAATTTTCTCCTGTTTCAGTTTTTGGCTGTGAGAAGTTCGAAACCGTTGGCGAAGTAGTGTGCTCTGTAGAAAAAAAAAAGAAAAAACATGGGAGTGGGAAGGGTTTTAATAACCCCTCGAAACACTGCAAATACATGGTGGGCAATATGTGCTCGTGTGAGCAAACACTATCTGCTCAATCATTTTCAACTCTCAAACATTTTCAGACATTCTCCAATCCTTGGTCTTTCAGATTGTTTTTGCAGATTGTTCAATGAGAAACAAAATCTTTGAAGCGCCTGTCGTTCCAACGGCGGGAGGCGCATTGAGCTTTGCTTCGCGCGGCTGAGCTCGGTGAACGGAGAGGAAAGGCCATCCAGGCAGGGCACCTCACAGAGAAAAAACAAAAAGAAACAAACAAAATGTTCTGCAAAGTTTCAAGAAACGCTCAGAAATGTTGGGCAAACTGTTTTGCAAAATGAGTCGGACTAATCATTAGTTTCAACTCAGGTGAAAAAACTTCACTACAATGGACTGGTACTGGTATTGCGATTAGAAAGATTCAATATATTCAATGCAACAAACAAACTGAACTGTCTTTCCCGTGAAAACCGTGTTAGAACCGTGTTAGAACCGTGTTAGAACCCTGCTAGAACCGTGTTAGAACTGTAATAGAGCTGTGTTAGAACCGTGTTCGAACGGTGTTAGAACTGTGTTGGAGCCGTGTTCGAGCCGTGTTTGAACCGTGTTAGAGCCGTGTTTGAACACGTGTTAGAGCCGTTTTTGTACCGTGTTAGAACTGTGCTACAACCGTGTTTGAACCTTATTAGAACCAAGTTAGAGCTGTTTTTGAGCCCTGTTAGAGCCGTGTTTGAAGAATGGTAGAACGCGTGTTAGAGCCGTGTTTGAACCGTGCTAGAACCGTGTTAGAACTGTGATGGAACTGTGTTAGAACCGTGTTCGAACGGTGTTAGAACTGTGTTAGAACTGCGTTGGAACTGTGTTGGAACTGCGTTGGAACTGTGTTAGAACCGTGTTGGAACTGTGTTAGAACTGCGTTAGAACCGTGCTAGAACACACGTGTTAGAGCCGTGTTTGAACCGTGTTAGAACCATGTCATAATTGTGTTAGAACTGCTTTAGAACTGTGTTAGAACTGTGTTAGAACCGTGTCTGAACTGTGTTATAGAACTGTGTGAGAACTGTATTAGAACTGTGTTAGAACTGTGTTAGAACCCTGTTAGAACTGTGTTAGGCCCGTGTTTGAACTGTGTTAGAACCGTGTTTGAACGTGTTAGACCTGTGCTACAGAACCGTGTTAGAACTGTATTAGAACTGTGTTTGAACCGTGTTGAAACCGTGTTTGAACTGTGCTACAGAACCGTTTTTGAACCGTGTTTGAACTGTGTTAGAACCGTGTTAGAACTGTGTTGGACCCGTGTTACAACTGTGTTTGAACCGTGTTAGAGCTGTGCTTGAACTGTGTTTAAACCGCGTTTGAACTGTGTCAGAACCGTGTTAGAACTGTGCTATCAAATTAAATGGTGTTAGAACCGTGTTTGAACTGTGTAAGAACGGTGTTAGAAGCCTGTTTTAACTGTGTTAGAACTGTGTGAGAACTGTGCTTTAGAACCGTGTTTGAACTGTGCTATGGACTGTGTTAGAACTGTGTTGGAACCGTGTTTGAACTGTGCTAGAACCGTGTTTGAACTGTGGTAGACCCGTGTTAGAACTGTGTTTGAACTTTGTCAAAACCGTGCTAGAACTGTTTCAGAACTATGTTTGAACCGTGTTTAAACTGCGCTGTAGAACCGTGATTGAACCGTGTTAGAACCGTGTTGGAACCGTGTTAGACCTGTGCTATAGAACCGTGTTTGAACTGTGTTAGAACCGTGTTAGAACTGTCTCAGAACCGTGTTTAAATTGTGAGAACCGTGTTTGAACTGTCTAGAACCGTGTTAGAACCGTGTTTGAACTGTGTTAGAACTGTGCTATAGAACCCTGTTAGAACCGTGTTTGAACTGTGCTATGGAACCGTGTTAGATCCGTGTTTGGACTGTGCTATAGAACCGTGTTAGAACTGTGCTATAGAAACCGTGTTTGAACTGGTTTAGAACCGTGTTCGAACTGTGCTATAGAACCGTGTTTGAACCGGGCCTGTACTGTGTTAGAACCGTGTTAGGACTGTGCTATAGAACCGTGTTTGAACTGTGTTAGAACCGTGTTAGAACTGTGCTAAAGAACCGTGTTAGAACCGTGTTTGAACTGTGTTTGAACCGTGTTTGAACTATGCTATAGAACCGTGTTAGAACTGTGCTATAGAACCGTGTTAGACCCGTGTTTGAACTGTGTTAGAACCACGTGTTAGAACTGTATTAGAACTGTGCTATAGAACCGTGTTAGAACTGTGCTATAGAACCGTGTTAGAACTGTGTTGGAACCGTGTTAGAACCGTGTTTGAACCGTGTTAGAACTATGCTATAGAACCGTGTTAGAACTGTGCTATAGAACCGTGTTAGAACTGTGCTATAGAACCGTGTTACAACTGTCCTCTAGAACCGTGTTTGAACTGTGTTAAAACCGTGCTATATAGAACCGTGTTAATTAGAACTGTGCTATAGAACCGTGTTAGAACCGTGTTTGAACTATGCTATAGAACCGTGTTAGAACTGTGCTTTAGAACCGTGTTAGATCCGTGTTTGAACTGTGCTATAGAACCGTGTTAGAACTGTGTTAGAACTGTGTTTGAACCGGGCCTGTACTGTGTTAGAACCGTGTTAGAACTGTGCTATAGAACCGTGTTTGAAATGTGCTATAGAACCGTGTTAGAACTGTGCTATAGAACCGTGTTAGAACTGTGCTATAGAGCCGTGTTAAAACTGTGTTAGAACTGTGCTTTAGAACCGTGTTGGAACTGTGTTAGAACCGTGTTAGAACTGTGCTATAGAACCGTGTTAGAACTGTGTTAGAAACGTGTTAGAACTGAGCTATAGAACCGTGTTAGAACTGTGTTATAAAACCAAGTTAGGACATGTTAGAACTGTGCTATAGAACTGTGTTAGAACCGTACGTGTTAGAACTGTGCTATAGAACCGTGTTTGAACTCTCCTATAGAACCGTGTTGACAGTGATAGAACCGTGATAGAACTGTGCTATAGAACCGTGTTAGAACCGTATTTGAACTGTGCTATAGAACCGTGTTAGAACCGTGTTTGAACTGTGTTAGAACCGTGTTTGAACTGTGTTAGAACCGTGTTCAACCTGTGTTAGAACCTTGTTTGAACTGTGCTAGAGCCGTGTTAGAACTGTGCTATAGAACCGTTTTAGAACTGTGCTATAGAACCGTGTTTGAACTGTGCTATAGAACCGTGTTAGAACTGTGCTATAGAACCGTGTTAGAACTGTGCTATAGAGCCGTGTTAGAACTGTGTTAGAACTGTGCTTTAGAACCGTGTTGGAACTGTATTAGAACCGTGTTAGAACTGTGCTATAGAACCGTGATTCAACTATGTTTGAACTGTGCAAGAACCGTGATAGAACTGTGCTATAGAACAGTGTGAGAACCGTGTTGGAACTCTGATAGAACCGTGATAGAACTGTGATAGAACTGTGCTATAGAACCGTGTTAGAACTGTGCTATAGTGCCGTATTTGAACAGTGTTAGAACCGTGTTAGAACTGTGCTATAGAACCGTGTAAGAACTGTGCTACAGAACCGTGTTAGAACTGTGCTATAAAAACCGTGTTTGAACTGTGTTAGAACCGTGTTAGAACTGTGCTATAGAACCGTGTTAGAACTGTGCTATAGAACCGTGTTAGAACTGTGCTATAGAACCGTGTTTGAACTGTTTTAGAACAGTGTGAGAACCGTGTTTGAACTGTGTTAGAACTGTGCTATAAAACCGTGTTTGAACTGTGTTAGAACCGTGTTAGAACTGATTATAGAACCGTGTTGGAACTGTGCTGTAGAACTGTGTTAGAACTGTGCTATAGCACCGTGTTAGAACTGTGCTATAGAACCGTGTTAGAACTGTGCTATAGAACCGTGTTTGAAATGTGCTATAGAACCGTGTTAGAACTGTGCTATAGAACCGTGTTAATTAGAACTGTGCTATAGAACCGTGTTGGAACTGTGCTATAGAACCGTGATTGAACTGTGCTATAGAGCCGTGTTAAAACTGTGTTAGAACTGTGCTTTAGAACCGTGTTGGAACTGTGCTAGAGCCGTGATAGAACTGTGCTATAGAACCGTGTTAGAACTGTGCTAGAACCGTGTTTGAACTGTGCTATAGAACCGTGTTAGAACTGTGCTATAGAGCCGTATTTGAACAGTGTTAGAACCGTGTTAGAACTGTGCTATAGAACCGTGTTTGAACTGGGGTAGAACCGTGTTAGAACTGTGCTGTAAAACCGTGTTAGAACCGTGTTAGAATTGTGCTATAGAACCGTGTTGGAACTGTGCTGTAGAACCGTGTAAGAACTGTGCTATAGAACCGTGTTAGAACTGTGCTATAGAATCGTGTTTGAACTGTGTTAGAACCGTGTTTGAACTGTGTTAGAACCGTGTTTGAACTGTGCTATAGAACCGTGTTTGAACTGTGTTTGAACCGTGTTAGAACCGTGTTAGAACCGTACGTGTTAGAACTGTGCTATAGAACCGTGTTTGAACTGTGTTAGAAACCGTGTTTGAACCGTGTTAGAACCGTGTTGGAACTGAGCTATAGAACCGTGTTAGAACTGTGTTAGAACCGTGTTAGAACTGTGCTATAGAACCGTGTTAGAACTGTGCTATAGAACCGTGTTCGAACTGTGTTAGAACCGTGTTAGAACTGTGCTATAGAACCGTGTTTGAACCGTGTTAGAACTGTGCTATAGAACCGTGTTAGAACTGTGCTATAGAACCGTGTTAGAACTGTGCTATAGAACCGTGTTAGAACTGTGCTATAGAACCGTGTTTGAACTGTGTTAGAACAGTGTGAGAACCGTGTTTGAACTGTGTTAGAACTAGTGCTATAAAACCGTGTTTGAACTGTGTTAGAACCGTGTTAGAACTGATTATAGAACCGTGTTGGAACTGTGCTGTAGAACTGTGTTAGAACTGTGCTATAGCACCGTGTTAGAACTGTGCTATAGAACCGTGTTTGAACTGTGCTATAGAACTGTGTTAGAACTGTGCTATAGCACCGTGTTGGAACTGTGCTATAGAACCGTGATTGAACTGTGATAGAACTGTGTTAGAACTGTGCTTTAGAACCGTGTTGGAACTGTGCTACAGCCGTGATAGAACTGTGCTATAGAACCGTGTTAGAACTGTGCTAGAACCGTGTTTGAACTGTGCTATAGAACCGTGTCAGAACTGTGCTATAGAGCCGTATTTGAACAGTGTTAGAACCGTGTTAGAACTGTGCTATAGAACCGTGTTTGAACTGGGGTAGAACCGTGTTAGAACTGTGCTGTAGAACCGTGTTAGAACCGTGTTAGAATTGTGCTATAGAACCGTGTTTGAACTGTGCTATAGAACCGTGTAAGAACTGTGCTATAGAACCGTGTTAGAACTGTGCTATAGAATCGTGTTTGAACTGTGTTAGAACCGTGTTTGAACTGTGCTATAGAACCGTGTTTGAACTGTGCTATAGAACCGTGTTAGAACTGTGTTAGAAACCGTGTTTGAACCGTGTTAGAACCGTGTTGGAACTGAGCTATAGAACCGTGTTAGAACTGTGTTAGAACCGTGTTAGAACTGTGCTATAGAACCGTGTTAGAACTGTGCTATAGAACCATGTTCGAACTGGGTCAGAACCGTGTTTGAACTGTGTTAGAACCGTGTTAGAACTGTGCTATAGAACCGTGTTTGAACTGTGTTTGAACCGTGTTAGAACCGTACGTGTTAGAACTGTGCTATAGAACCATGTTCGAACTGTGTCAGAACCGTGTTTGAACTGTGTTAGAACCGTGTTAGAACTGTGCTATAGAACCGTGTTTGAACTGTGTTTGAACCGTGTTAGAACCGTGTTAGAACCGTACGTGTTAGAACTGTGCTATAGAACCGTGTTTGAACTGTGTTAGAACCGTGTTTGAACTGTGTCAGAACCGTGTTAGAACTGTGCTATAGAACCGTGTTAGAACTGTGTTGGAACCGTGTTAGAACCGTGTTTGAACTGTGTTAGAACCGTGTTAGAACTGTGCTATAGAACCGTGTTAGAACTGTGTTGGAACCGTGTTAGAACCGTGTTTGAACCGTGTTAGAACTGTGCGTGTTAGAACTGTGCTATAGAACCGTGTTTGAACTGTGTTAGAACCGTGCTTGAACCGTGTTATAGAACTGTGTTAGAACTGTGCTATAGAACCGTATTTGAACAGTGTTAGAACCGTGTTAGAACTGTGCTATAGAACCGTGTTAGAACTGTGCTATAGAACAGTGTGAGAACCGTGTTAGAACCGTGTTGGAACTGTGCTATAGAACCGTGATTCAACTATGTTTGAACTGTGCAAGAACCGTGATAGAACTGTGCTATAGAACAGTGTGAGAACAGTGTTTGAACTCTGATAGAACCGTGATAGAACCGTGTTAGAACTGTGCTATAGAACCGTGTTAGAACTCTGCTATAGAACCGTGTTAGAACTGTGCTATAGAACCCTGTTTGAACTGTGCTAGAACCGAGTTAGAACAGTGTTTGAACTGTTTTAGAACCGTGATAGAACTGTGCTATAGAACCTTGTTAGAATTGCGCTATAGAACCATGTTTGAACTATGTTTGAACTGTGCTAGAACCGTGTTGGAGATGTGCTATAGAACAGTGTGAGAACCGTGTTTGAACTGTGCTAGAACTGTGCTTGAACTGTGCTATAGAACCGTGTTTGAACTGTGATAGAACCGTGATAGAACTGTGCTATAGAACCGTGATTCAGCTATGTTTGAACTGTGCTAGAACCGTGTTAGAACTGTGCTATAGAACAGTGTGAAAACCGTGTTAGAACTGTGATAGAACCGTGATAGAACTGTGCTTTAGAACCGTGTTTGAACTGTGATAGAACCGTGATAGAACTGTGCTATTGAACCGTGTTTGAACTGCGATAGAACCGTGATAGAACTGCGCAATATTGTGCTATAGAACCGTGTTTGAATTGTGATAGAACCGTGATAGAACTGTGCTATGGAACATTGTGAGAACCGTGTTTGAACTGTGATAGAACCGTGATAGAACTGTGCCATAGAACCGTGTTTGAACTGTGATAGAACCGTGATAGACCTGTGCTATTGAACCGTGTTTGAACTGCGATAGAACCGTGATAGAACTGTGCTATTGAACCGTGTTTGAACTGCGATAGAACCGTGATAGAACTGCGCAATATTGTGCTATAGAACCGTGTTTGAATTGTGATAGAACCGTGATAGAACTGTGCTATAGAACATTGTGAGAACCGTGTTTGAACTGTGATAGAACCGTGATAGAACTGTGCCATAGAACCGTGTTTGAACTGTGGTAGATTCTTTTTGAAACTTTGCAACGTCTCACCGTTAGGGCTTGGACTTTGCGCTGCTCAGGCGGCGGAGGTGAGGACCGCAGGGGCGATGACCTTAGGACGACATTTGAATGTCTGTGACATGCTTGTGACATTTTTATATAATACAAATTGCACATATTTGCACAAGATTTACGCCTGAAGTATGATCAAATATGATCAAATTATCTTAAACTATTCATTTAGATAGTGTAGTCTAGTGTAGTGTTGTGTAAAGTAGTGTAGTTGTAGTTGTAGTTGCAGTGTAGTGTAGTGCAATTAGTGTTGTGTAATGGTAGTTGTAGTTGTAGTTGCAGTTGCAGTTGTAGTTGTAGTGGTAGTGTGATGTAATTAGTGTAGCGTAGTGTTTTGTAATGCAATGTAGTTGTATTTGTATTTGTAGCTGTAGCGTATGTGTGACTAGCGTAGTGTAGTGTAATGTAACGTAGTTGTAAGTGTAGTTGTAGCTGTAGTGGTAGTAGTAGTAGTAGTAGCAGCAGTAGTAGCAGCAGTAGTAGTAGTAGCAGTAGTAATAGTGGTGGTAGTAGTAGTAGCAGCAGCAGTAGTAGCAGCAGTAGTAGTAGTAGCAGTAGTAGTAGTAGTAGCAGCTGCTGTCGTTGCAGTTGTAGTGTAATTTGCGTAGTGTAGTGTAGTGTAATTAGTTGTAACTAGATGTTATTAGATGTAGTTAGATGTAATTAGATGTAGTTAGGTGCAATCAGGTGCAATTAGTGTAGTGTAGTGTAATTAGTGTAGCGCAATGTAGCGTAGTATATTTGTATTTGTCGTAGCAGTGTAGTGTAGTGTAATGGTATTTGTAGTTGCAGTTGTCTATCTACCTATCTATCTATCTATCTATCTGTCCTATCTGTCCTATCTACCCTATCTTTCCTATCTATCCTATCTTTCCTATCTTTCCTATCTTTCCGATCTATCCTATCTATCCTATCTATCCTATCTATCCTATCTATCCTATCTATCCTATCTATCCAATCCGTCCTATCTATCCTATCTATCCTATCTATCCCATCTATCCTGTCCATCCTACATATCCTATTTATCCTATCTATCCTATCTATATCGTATCTATCGTATCTATCGTATCTATCGTACCTATCGTATCTATCGTATCTATCGTATCTAATCTATCTAAGCTCTCTAATCTATCTAATCTATCTAATCTATCTATCTACCTATCTATCTACCTATCTATCTATCTACCTACCTATCTATCTATCTATCTGCAAGCTTGGAAACGAAGCTATTCTGCGAGACTTCCTCAGTTTTTGAACTTGACAACATCAAAAACGCAGCAACTCTGCGAGACTTCCTCAATTTTTGAACTTGACAACGTCAAAAACGAAACAGTTCTGCGAGACTTCTTCAATTTTTCAAAGTTAACAACATCAAAAGCGAAGCAATTCTGTGAGACTTCCTTCAAGAATAGAAAGTTTAGTGCAGAGCTGCCGGCCTCGTGCCAATGCGTTTTGCGATGTTTCCATTCCATGTGCGTAAAGTACTGCGCCTGCCACGCAAAAGTGATGCCAGGTCATACGAAGTGCTGCACCTGTCACGCAAAATCATCTTAGCAAACCTGAAGATCTGATGCTCCAAAATGCAACCCATCTCAGGAAACCAGCGCCCTGACCTCCTAACATCTCTGATGAACATGTCTCTGCTAGCGCGCCTGCCACGCGAAATGAATCTTTCCAGATCCTCTTTAGATGCCCCATGCCTGCCATCATTTTTGGACATGCGACAAAACCCTCAAGTTGGCAAGGTGCAGAATCCCTTGCGCCTGCCACACAAAACCACATCTGCACCTCCAAAAGTTCGGACCTGCTTTTAACATTATGACTTGGAAATTTGCTTCGCGCCACAACGGCGTACACTTTTTCGACAGCTCAATTCCTAAAAGCGCTCCCGTGCTGAGGTGTTTTGTGCATTTTGACTTCGAAATGTGCTTCGCGCCACAACGGCGTGCACTTTTTCGACATCTCAACTTCCAAAAGTGCTCCGAGATCGTCTGTTTTTAACACTTTTGACTTCGAAATGTGCTTCGCGCAACAACAGCGTGCAATTTTTCATCTCTCATCGGGCCAGATGGCTCCGCACCCGCCGCTTTAGCGAGCCTACTTTTCGACCCTCCGGAGCCACAATCATTGGAAAAACCGTGTTTCGCGACTTTCTCCTACCTTTTCGTGCACCTGGATCTTCTTTCTTCTCACTCTTTCTCTTTTTGATCTTTTCTTCTTCTCTTCTCTTCTCTGACTCTTCCCACCTCCGCTTTTCCATCTGTCCATATTGTCGGAATTTTGACTTTCTAAACTTCCTCGGATCATAATACTATCGTAAATTATACAGTTCTATCTAATACGTATCCATGTCTCATCGGGAAGTTCACACTATGAATATCTATGAATTTACGAGCACTGCACCAATGCGTGCAAAACTTTTCAGCCTCCTCAAGCCCCCAGGTCCCCAAGCCCCCAAGTCCCCAAGGCTTCGTTACGAGCTAAGACAAGTGACGGATCTGAGCCGAAGCTCCCCGTGGACAGACTCGGAGTCGACACGGCTCGGTACATGTCGCCGTTGTTGCCGCTGTCGCCAGTGTCAACGACAATTCCGTCTTCGCTTCGCTTCTGTCAAAAGAAAAAAGAAAACGATCCTTTGAAAAGTTGGTCTTCTTACCTGTTCAGGTTGATATCTTGAATACCCTTTCACTTTCAATTCCCATTTCTTTTTTTGACTTTCGATCCAACAATAAGCAAGCGCACTCTGGCGCTTTAAATGCAGGCCGCGAGCTACCTGGCACATGTTCAAAGGCAAAGACTTTGGGTCAGCAAGTCAATGCACATGTTGAGGTAAACTTTGCCAAGGGCCCAGTGGTTTTTTCTGTTGATATCATGCTTCACTATGCTGCAATATAGTAAGCGACAATTCTTGATGCTAGCTGGCAGGCTAAGTTTTAAAATTATATACACCCGACTCCACAAATTCATTCAAAGTGATTCACACACACACACACGTGCGTGCACACACTTGCTCAGAAACATATTCACATCACCATGCGTATAGATATATAATGTAACAACAACATATATATATGATTCATGTATAAATATATAATATCATATTGTAGTTGTTTGGTTGCAAGCATATTTGCAAGTACATGCTGCTTTGCGGTCATTTTTGGTAAAAACTTGCTAAGGTTCCTATGTTGTTGCTGCAGAAAAAAATACTCCTATTCAAGACCCATATCTGCACGCATCGACCGATCGCCCGAAAGACCCACTCCTTGCCTTAGGCACTTCCGCGGACGCATGCAGACTTTCGAGCCAATCAATGCGGAGCGAACGGAAAGGACAGTTAAGCAGTCCCAGTTTTTGTGGGGTGGCACAAAGCGAGTTACAACGGATTGATTGGTCACAAGCTTGTAACTGTACATGGGAGGCGGCGAAGGGCAACAAAGCGGCGATAGTGACCATCTCAGAAATGCATCGAACTCGCATGGAGTTCCGACAAGTTCCAACAAATCAAGACTCTGCGGCACCTCCTTTGATGACTCTTTTTGCACCTCCTCGCACACACACACACAGCTGTAACTCTGAGGGAGGGCAATGGGGATAAGAAAAAGGGCCAAACAAACTGGCAAAGTCTGCTAAGTATGCTGAGATGTGCTAAGCCGAAGTATGTCAATGTATCAAAGTTGATGTGCAAATGTTGCAAGTTGGTGAATCTTCAAACCCTTCCTGAATTGGCAAGCCAACAATCACTGTATCATCACATCTAGACAACGATACCATCGGATGAAATCTCACACAAGGGAGTCACACACAGCAATGACAAAGCTACAGGGTACACCCCAACGAAAATCACCGCCACAACATCACTATGTCACTGTTTGGTTGTATAAATAATAAATTCGGACATTACAAATGTTCAAGAAAAAAGGGAGTGAGGCATATCATGGCATATCTTCCAATATCCAGAAATATCGAACTGGGTTCGGATGTGGCACAATCATAGACTCGAAGCGGGCAAACATAAGGTCAGCCCAGCAGTGTTCTGAAACAAGAACTGGAAACCATAGATGCAATAGGAAAAGCGAGAATCTCAGCCAGTATCACCAATCTTAATTTTTGTTAATCCATGTTCCGTGCCATGGCAATACAGACCTGCTCGGATTTTGTCCAGTCGAGCCATTTTTCAGCTTGCAACCAGGCGCGCATGTCTCTCAGATCCATCACTTTCAAGCACATCTCCCAGGTGGTTCACATTCAAATAGACATCAGTACCAAAGCCATGCATAGACTGCACGTGGATGTCACCACCAAAGTACCTCATGGAAGAAAGTGGCAGGGCCATGATTTACCAACCTGTTTTGCAAAGAACATTCGTGTCATTTCATGTCCATGTCTCTCTGTCCGACTACCCCAACTGCCAAAAACTACACTTCATGCAAACTATAAGTATACTTTGAAAGGCGCAAACCTCGTGTCACAGGACCGCGCCATCATTTCCAATCCATCCATAAATTTCAGCCTTCAGAATCTGGCAAGACATTTACCTTTCGTGAAACAGAGCCAGAGACTGTCAAGCTACTGCGCATAGACTCTCGACAAAGGTAACCCAAAGCCATAGCCAGCGAGTTGACGCATTGATGCTTGATCGCGGCCACAAAGCAGCTGGAAGTCGTCCTGCCATGATGTTCTTTTTTTTACTGGTCATATTGATCAAAACGCGTCTTATTGGTTTGAAAAAATAAGACACAAAGATTCACAAAGTATCCTGTGACATTGGATTGCGCCAGAGCTGGAAAATTGGAAAGCGCTGGAAACTGGGAAAAGCGTCAAAATGTACGAGTAATTACCAAGTGTGAGCTTCCATATTGACTGATGATGAATCAATATGAATCATATTGAATCGATTGACTGGAGAGCTTCAAAGTCCTTGGGCTTCACTTCAACAGCCGGCTTCTTGGCACATGAGTGGCCATAGCCTTTGTGAAACTGCACCAGTCGACTGTCACAGGCTGTCACGGTGCCGACAGTGCTGACTACGGTACATGGAGGGTATGTGCAAACGAGGGCAAAGGTCAAGACATGTCAAGATCTGCCAGAAACAGGTGTTTCAAAAGAACCTGTTCATTGCCAGTTGATCATGGAAGCTACACACGGAAACAACTTCGAGTGTCAGAAGGTGTTGATCAGGTCTACAAAAACATGCCAGAAAACGGATGTCGTTCAATGTGTCAACAAATGCATGGTGTAACATAGTGTGATGTGGTGTGACATATGGACAACGCACGTGCACACAGTGCATTGACGAGACCGTCTCCATACCGTGGATCAACAAATGAAATCTCCGTCTGCTTTTAGGAGGGACACCTTGTATGAGAAGGGATTTCCACACACGAACAGCCACAAGAGATCACAAACACTCAACTTACAACTTGACTTACTAGTATATAATCTTATAATATCTTATATACAGCCCACATGCTGTTTAACAGTCCAACTTGTGGTTGGCTCTGTGCACATTTGATTAGAATTGTTTACGTAAGATTCACGTCTTCAAACATCTTATATACTTTTCTGCTCTTCCTGGTGATGCCGCGCAACGCCAGGCTTCGCGCAGTTCGTCTCGTCGCATACCACCACCTAATCATATAAAGCAAAAGTTTTTCGTAAGAAAAGATCATAACAATCTTAAGAATAGTATTTTAAGAAAAGTATTGCAATAGTAAAAATCTCCGAACGTGGCAACAAAGCACTTGGATTTCTGAACTTGTTAGTCACTGTGGAGTTCTTTGGCTTTTGGCTTACCATTGCTGTCTTGTCAATCATTCTCAACTCAAGCAAGCACATACCAGCAAAATCAAGATTAGGGTCCGCCGTTGTCCGCCAAGATCCAACAAGATCCAACCAGATACAACGAGACTCAACCAGACCCAACCAGACCCAAAGAAATCCAACGAGATCCAACGAGATACAACGAGACCCAACCAGACCCAACAAGATCCAACAAGATCAATCACAATATCCAACAAGAGCTTCAAAAGGATGAGCGATGCTGAGCGATGAGCGCCTCTATCGGAGACTTTGATGGTCACATCGAAGATGCCCTTGAGCACCTCCACGGTGACCTGGGTTCAAAAGCTTCCGCGAAAAGGTTCCGCCAAAAACAACTTGCGCAAAGCATGGATCAAAGCGAAGTCAAGGTGAAATCAAAATGGCAAAGTTGAAAAAAGCCTGACGAAATTGAGCTTACTGATGTCGAAGAAGGCTTGGTGTGCTGTCCATTTTTCCCAAACGCGCTTACATGATTTTCATGCTACTAGCTTTTGAAAGCATTTCAACCAAATGATATCTGGTCAACTTTTGATGTTTGGCCGATTGCTTCACTTCCTCTGCGGCCCTCTTGTGATCCAAAGGATTGGCAAAAAGGTTTCATTAACAGACATGAACAGCTTGATCAGTCTGCTTCATTTAGTTCATCTGAGCTTCTGGGGGTGGAGCTCCAGGATGCGTTTCCAGTGTGGCACGGAAAGCGTTCTTCAGCAGCTGCACAAGGGGCAGTGCAGACACCGCGAACACAGTGCAAACACGGTGCTAACGCACTCACAGCGCGGTCAAACTCTACAAAAGTACAGCACGAAAATGTGCAAAGTACACCTCAAAGTATGACATCGAAATACTTTCACAGCCTCTGAGATTTGATTCAGTGACTCAAATAATTCGGTAGCAACAAATGAAAACACACGCCAAGAAAAGTTTGGAAGACGATCTGATCCTTCAAGCCTTCAAGCTATGGTTCTTGGTTCCTGTCCTTGGCTGCCTCCCCCAGTCTTCGGTCCCTGACTAAGCTACGGTAGAAATTCATAGAACGCCCCATTTTGATCCATGTTGCGTGCCGTACCTTAAAGTCAATCACGTGAAACACGCAAAAACTGCCTATTACTCTTCCTTACATTGTATTGTTTGCGGCAGAAAGGGGTACCTGAAGCATGCATAGTTCAGGGGCCAATGCAGACGCTTTCGCCGCTCATCCCTTGAGGGAGATTTCTTTCACACGTAATGGGCCCAGTACTTCCTTTTTTTCTGGAACTGTTAATCAACAAGTCTTCAGGATTTTTTCAGACAGCAATCACTTCTTGCTTGTAGCTTGTCGAGTGGCTAAATTGCATATGCAAGCGCTGTGTACTGTTTCTGAAATGCTTGTATAGCTTCTGGGTAGTTCCTTTTCCAACACCTTCTTGAAGATTGATTGATAGGTATGAACAGTATGAATTTATTTGGGTTGAAGTCTGACCTCCCTGGGTGGGTCTTGAACTAGCTGGTTCCCATCTTGCCTCCTGTAACATGAATCGCAAATGCTCTGGAACGAAGGACAGCTGCGTCTCGAGTTCGCCTTGCAACTGCACCTGATGACAAATTCCCATACGCACACAACTTGCCGTGCATTTCGCGGTTCAAACAGTTGATTGACATCCCGTGCAAAGCACGTTCAAAAGGTCTCGCAAGCCCTGAAGGGCTGAAGGCTAGCAGTTCCACAGCCTTGGGCCGGGTCCCATAGAGTTCTTCGCAAATATCTCCCAAACTCTCTGACAGCTCTTCAACAACTTCCTGAGCCATGGAGCCCGGGACAGTTGGAGAAGCCAAGATGCGGATGAAAGATGATGAAAGTTGGTTACATATCAATACATATCGTATGACCATATGTTCCACTTTTTGATACTTCTTCCATTTTCGTGATTGGCTTTCCTACATGCCAGAACGAAACAGATTCTGCGTGCATGACTTGATACGACTTGCATGGAAGATCTGCATTGATTTTCAAGATTCCAAGAGATTCCTTGATTGATTCAAAATTAGTGTGATATTGATTTGATCTCCTACATTTTCTCGGGAAATCTTCAATAACTCTGTCTGCTGGGATGCTCGGGGGCAGCATCTGGGGTCCACCACCCCAACGAAATGCTGCGCAGCTCCTGCGCCCAATGCATCAGAATCCCCAACCATACTATGGCGTACCGTGACATACCGGGTTCACATCCTAGGTTCATCTGGGTTCGCAAGTTGCAAGTTGAAGGAAGAAACTGAAGAAACTCGGAAATTTGAAAACATTGTGTTTTCTGATGCTTGTCTATCATCAATCCTGCGACGAAAACGTAGGCCGTAGGACCTTTGTATAGACCCCAAATAGCAAAAGGATGTAATAGGAATTTAAGAATTACTTTACAAATCACAATCTTGTGCAAGACGGCTGGACTCTTCGCATTCACTTCCGACCCCAATATTGCTGGGAGCACGGTGTCATATTGGGGGACAAGATGCAAAACGAAATGAGAGGCAAGCTGAGAGACCCTCGACAGCACCCTGCCCACAGAGATTGCGCCATCCCAATTTTATTGGAATTAAGATGAGTCAAGGCCCCGGGGTTGCCGCTATCTAGGAAAAACACTTAACTTTCCGTGGCTTTAGAGTACAAAGAAAGCACGACGAAATGACCTCTCCACCGCAACAAACCAGGCACCTGAACTGCGGGCCTCATGCACTGCCAGAAAGTGCTCGGCTAAAACACGGTTTCCTCAGGGCAATGGCGGCATAAGAATCTCCCATGGATTTGCGCTAAACGATTCCCATCTCGAACGAGATCTCTGATCATCTCTGATCCATGGTGGGATTCTGATCTGGTATGATCTGATTGTGCTATTACTCCGAGGTACTTGCAGTAAGCGAGTCTGAATCGAGTTTGGAGCCAAGCAACCAATACGTGTGAAGCACGTTTGATTCAGAAACGCTTCCAACTCAACCATATCCTGAAGCACTGCGAGTGGGCAATCCCAGCCGGAATGAAACTAGTAACTAGAAGTTGGTTCTGTTCAGCCTCGTTTGACCGTCACATAACAACTGCCATTGCTGTAGTTTCTTGCAGCTTCTTTCAATAACAAGTATCACTGCATATGGTCTTTATCACACTTTATCACAGCAGATGTTTGAGTAGGATAAAACGGGACAACTTTTCCAACTTGTGTCATCTTTGCCACAGAACATTCCAATTCTCTTCACCTCATCACTGCTATTTATGTGCCTCCAGCAACGCATGAAGCTCAGCATAGCCTTCCTTGGGTGGCACGGGTGGTCATGAAGTGAGCTAGACAGAAATAGAGATAACGAACGAAAACAACAAAAACTGATATGGTCTCAAAACTGCGAAAAGTTATCCACAAAGCCCCGGCCTGTAGCATGTGGATTGTGTTGTCATGGCCCCGTACCAGCCCTCGCAGCATCCGAGCAAAGTTTTCCACGTCTCTAGTATCTTTGACCTGAGCACACCAATGCATGCGAAGCAATGCTGCATGCAGAGAAGTAAAGGTAAGGTGTTTCGCGTGTGGCAAGCAGCGAAAGACGCGCAACTCAAGAAGAACGAAATCCAAAGGTTCTGAGCTCTGATTTTAATTTGTCGATAAAAAACATTACGCCAGCAAGAGACCCCAAACAATGCGGGGAAGAAGAAATGATGATAATCTATTTAGGTGACATAAGATATTGAGGCGTGTACAAGATGCAAGCATTTCAGGCTGGAAACAGAACGTCGTTCCTGAAGTCGACAGCCGGACACAAAGCAAAAGACATCTTTTTCACGGTGGACTGCGGCGGCGGTTGGTGTTGCCGGTCTGCAACTAAGATAGAACGAACGAACACAACCACAGCGGCAGAACGGCAAGAATCTCAAAGTGAAAAAATTGATCAGCGTCCAAAGCTTGCAAACAGGCTGCAGCGAAGGTCTGCATTCGGCCAAAATGCAGACCTTCGCTCCAGCCTGTTTGCAAGCTTGGGGCTGGTGACCCTTCGCCGCAGCAGAGGAGTACGGTAGCTTTGCCGACAGCATATTCAGTTGGATTTGGATCCAGTACTAGTCAGTTGGATCCCCTATGGTATACGGAGTAAACCCACTGTGGCACTCACAGTGCGCAACCGCAGCAGAAATACCAAGGACGGATCTTCAAGCAGGTCGAGGTTAACGATCCTGTGTTGGACGCACGATGGAGCGAGCGCACCATCAAAGCTACCGCCATGGCTTCAGACCCCAGGGTGGAGGGAAATCAGAGACTCTTCAAGTGAACCTGCCATGGCTGATTTGCATGGCAACATGACGAACAAGAAAGATTTGCCTATCAATTCTCATTCTCAAGTCGTTGCGGCACACCGTCCTCATGTCGCAGCACCGACTTGTTCAGCAAATCTGCGGTTACCACCACAAGTTCAAAACCAATCCAACACAACCTAAATGTTCCATCGCAAAGAAATTTCACACGCAAGTTCACACATATATGTATGCCAAGCAGCGTCAAACACTTCAGTGCAAGCACTTAATGAAGAGCAACCCACAATCGCTTCCAACACCTCTCTCTCATAATCTGCAATATCTTCGCATCAGACTTTGCCATAAAAAGTGCTTACGCCATAAAAATTAAGTGCTTATGCCATAAAAAACATCGGAACCCTTTGGAAATTCACAAAGCATCTGCACGGGAACCCTCCGGAACCTCACCAAGCATCTTCTCCGCCAAAACCCTCCGGAACCTAACAAGGTCTCTGCACCGGAACCTTCCGGAACCTCGTAAGGTATCTGCCCCGGAACCCTCCGGAACCTCACCACGCATCTTCACCTGGACCCTCCGGAACCTCATCAGGTAGCTGCACCGGAAACTTCCGGAACCTCACCAGGTACCTGCACCAAAACCCTCTAGAACCTAACCCAGTATCTGCACCGTAACCCTCCGGAACCTCACCGAGCACCTGCACCGGAAACTTCCAGAACCTCACAGAACCCTCCGGAGCCTCAGCAGGTATCTTCACCGGAAGCCTCCGGAACCTCACGAGGTACCTGCACCGAACCCTCGAATAAACTATTAAACCAGGTACTACCAGAGCAGAAAGCTTTTTCTAGTCTTTATACTGGACATACTGGACAACGAGCAAAGGTGCTGTACAACTATGTACAACTAATTCCTTCCAATAGTTTGAAACGCTGAAAGGACGTACTGCGTACAAGCAACCAACCAGCGGCTTCGCAAAGGTGAAAAAAGTAGAAAAACTCTGACCTTCTTAGTGCAGTTAATCAAATGCTTTCAAGTGAATGATCAGTGGTCATTATCTGATCATTACTGTGCAACTTGGCTCTTCAATGCTACAGGGTTCAAGATGCATCAAGTGGCTGGAGGAGATTCCACCAAGGTATCGAAGGCATGCAAGAAAAGGCGAAAGACCTGTCAAACGAAAAGGTGCTATGTGCATCAGAATTAGCCATGCGCATCCTCTGCCATGTTCTTACACGTCAAGAACATCCTTTAGATTATGATTACACTTATACTTCTGGGGCGCAAGTTTCTTTCCTGGAAGAATAAGTCTCTGCCAGTGCAAAGACATTGAGTTTCTGAGAAAACATTTGCATATGTCCATCAAACGGAAAATGGTTGGTCGCCAGAATCATGGCTATTCAGGGGCTGGCACAAAATCATCTTGCTCCCTCCTTTTCCCTGTGCACCTCGTGAAACCGAGCATTGCAAACAATGACAAATGGAAGCTCCAGAAAGTCAGACAGGCGATGTGCCAATCGTACTGGCATCTCTTCTTGAATCCAACGCGCATGTTGCACATGTTGCTCCTCTGACCTTAACCGCAGCAGGTTTGCGCAGGGAAAGTTTGCCTGCCGGTTGCAGGAAAGAAATATGCATACACCATCCATTGTGAAAGAAGCAAACTTCCACACAGCTGTTAATTTCATGCCGCACGCTGACACAGCATGCTGCAGAGGCTGCAGCCGGATTGAAAGGCAAACGTACAAAATCTGCAGTGTCTCCTGAAGGGCCCTGTTTCTTTAGCATTATATTATCATAGTCTTATACAATATATATATATATTGTATAAAAAATATAGAATGATACAAGTGCTCGTGTCTCCAGGATGCTCCATGTCTCATGGGGGAAGGGTTAGCTCCACTGAACTCTTCTGGGTCTTGGAAAGGATAGGAAAGGTTCTAGCATCTTGACTTTTCAAATGATCATGAGGGCCCCTGGTTTTCTAAAGCGTAAGTTGGAGTCCTGAGTCTTTCTCGAACACTATATCTTTTTGTGAAGAATGAACATGCCGCTTCTTCACTAATTCAGTCTGGCCCTGCTGCAGAGAAGTCTCCTCAGTTGTTGAGTTTTCTTTCAAGAGCCTCTACATCAATCTTGCACAAAGGGGGTGCCAGAACCTGTTGTACCCCTGGCATCCCTTGAATTAACCCCGAATTCAACCTCGAATTCAACGTGCCCAAGCGACACAGAGGCAGATCGTTCCAAGAGCTGACGGATTGCCACTCTTTGGATCGGCAGCCGCGCCAGGCGCTGGATCCGCCGCAGCGAGGGTGGCAACATTGCGTCCGGGAGATCCCCAGAATCACCTCTTGACAAATAGAAACGAAATGAAACGAATAAACTTTATAAACAAAAACAGGTGGTCAAAATCAACAGCTCTTTGTGACATTCTGCGACCGTGACAGCTAGCAGCTAGTGTAGTGAGACTCACTGACATCAGTTGCTATGTGATCAATTTCAATGGTCTGGAGCTATTTAAGTTGTCCCACTCTTGTCCTAAAGAACAGTCTTGCAGGTGCTGAGGTGCACTCTTGACATCTCTTGACTACGCTTCAGTAATTGCTCATATTGGCGCAGTCTTTCAGGGACCCGGAGAACCCGGAAGGATCAGCAAAGATCAGCAAGGTCTTCTAGGCTTTCAAGGTGTTTTGATGTTCTTCAGATTTCTTATACAAGCTTTGAGCAAAGAAAACTGCTACAGGTGCAGCTGTGCAACAATGCACAAAATCGACACAAGCAACACCAACCCAAAACAAAAACATCGATGAGACCCTGGTCTTGATCTGATCTCATTCAGAATCTCATTCACCTCACCCAGTTGCAACCAGCTCTCCAAGGCAACAGAGAAAATGGCAGATGGTCTCAAATTGAGCCTAGGTACCAGAGACAACCAAATACAACATAATAGAACTGGAGACAGCCTCTGTGAAATATACCACAACTGCCTCCTGTGGTTTCCACTCGTGTGATCTATATAATGAAATCCAAGGGTCATGACATTTCACGACGGTTATGACCCAGGACACTTTCTTTGCAATGGCTCCTCAACGTCGTGCTCATCGATTCCTGACGGATCTGACGGGGCCAAAATCTTTTGGGCTCCGGGTCGAACATGGATCGGACATGGTGACATTGTCCTATTGACAAGTTACTTGGCATGAACGGTTCGAACCCAGGACCACAGGAAGCACGATTTGCAGCGAAAGCGAACGAACATGGCACTGGTCTTTGCAAACTCTTATTGGATTTGAGTCTCTTAGTGGACTAAGCCAAAGAGGGATCAAAGGATCAGAATGCAAACTGTCCACTTTCACAACTAGTTTTGCCATCTTGCTTTCAAAAAAGTGATCCCACAAGCCAAGTCCACAAACAATTTTCTACCATGTCCATCTATCATTTTTAAATCGCCTTCGGCTCTCAAAGTCAGACCCCACATGGTAAAGAAGAAATCGCACAACAACTGTGGATTTACCGCAATCCAGAACGTGAAGTTTGGGGCTTGGAGCACCTAGAAATGTGTTTCGAAAGATTGACCGCACTTCCATGCTGTGCAAGATATTCAATTTAGCTTAAGCACAAAGGGTTGTGGTGAGAGTTGATGCATGCGTCCCTCTCACCTATGCACCCCATTGCGGCGTCAAGGGGCCATGTCAGGCCATTGTGAGGCCATGATGGATGATGTTTTTTTGCCGTTCTTTTTACCAACCCCCAAAAAAATGGATTGGGAACTTGGTAGAAGTCAGCACAGCCCTATGTATCCAGCCAATCCAGCCACTCAGCAACTTAAAGTTGCTGCGTCAGCCAGTCAGCCACTCTAAACCCAAACTCCCACCCGGCAAGACTCAGTGCGCAAAAACGTCACCAATACGGGTTCAAAAACCGTCGCTTGCATTTCGATCTGAGGCCCGACAAGCATCAAAAAACACTAAACATCGCCAAGCTGAGCAGCGTGGCATCGTTGCCAAATTGTATGCACCGCAAAGAAACAAGAAAAATGAAACCACGATGCATCCGATGCAACTGTGACATTGAGTGTATTTCTTGGCACAAGAAACTTTGCGCCACCAGTGCCACGGTCAAGCCATTAATCGGAAACTAAAACCCGTTAATCGGAAACTAAAACCCGTTAATCGGAAACTAAAACCCGTTAATCGGAAACTAAATCCTGTTAATCGGAAACTAAAATAATCGGAAACTAAAACCCGTGAATCGGAAACTAAAACCCTTGAATCGGAAACCAAAAACCCGGAATCGGGAACCAAAGCTGAATCGTAAACTAAAGCAGGTGAATCGGAAACTAAAACCTGTTAATCGGAAACCAAAAGAATCGGAAACTAAAACCTGTTCATCAATCCTAATGGGCAACTTGTCTTCTTCCAATGGAGTGGATTGCATGGGTTCTCTTTAATTGGGATCAGACCACGGCAAATCATGGGAGTGAAATCTGTCCGAAGGTAAGATGAATGTCAAAGGAGGATGTGATTTCGTATGAAGATAAGTTGTAGGTGCTATCCTATGTAACACAGTCGCCAGACGGGGTTGGCGGATTTGATTTCTTATGAAGTGAATTAGCGGGTAATATCCTATTGAGCATAGTGGCCAGAGGGGGTGGCGGATTTGATGTCTTATGAAGATAAGTTGAAGTTAATATCCTATTCAACATAGTGGCCAGAGGGGGTGGCGGATAATTTCCTTTGAAGTGAAGTAGAAGGTAATATCCTATTCAACATAGTGGCCAGAGGAGGGTGGCGGATTTGATTTCGTTTGAAGTGAAGTAGATCCCTTTTGAAGTGAAGTAGAAGGTAATATCCTATTCAACATAGTGGCCAGAGGGGGTGGCGGATTTGATTTCCTTTGGAGTGAAATAGAAGGTAAAATCCTATTCAACATAGTGGCCAGAGGGTTTGTCGGATTTCATTTCCTTTGAAGTGAAGTAGAGGGTAATATCCTACTCAACATAGTGGCCAGAGGGGGTGGCGGATTTGATTTCTTAGGATGGCGGATTTGATTTCTTAAGAAGATAAGTTGAAGTTAATATCCTATGTAGCATAGTGGCCAGACGGGGTTGGCGGATTTGATTTCTTATGAAGTGAATTAGCGGGTAATATCCTATTGAGCATAGTGGCCAGAGGGGGTGGCGGATTTGATGTCTATTGAAGATAGGTTGAAGTTAATATCCTATTCAACATAGTGGCCAGAGGGGGTGGCGGATAATTTCCTTTGAAGTGAAGTAGAAGGTAATATCCTATTGAACATAGTGGCCAGAGGAGGGTGGCGGATTTGATTTCTTTTGAAGTGAAGTAGAAGGTAATATCCTATTCAACATAGTGGCCAGAGGGGGTGGCGAATTTGATTTCTTATGAAGTGAAGTAGAGGGTAGTATCCTATTCAAGATAGTGGCCACAGAGGGTGGCGGATTTGATTTCATATGAAGATAAGTTGAAGCTAATATCCTATTCAACATAGTGGCCAGAGGGGGTGGCGGATTTGATTTCCTTTGGAGTGAAGTAGAAGGTAAAATCCTATTCAACATAGTGGCCAGAGGGGGTGGCGGATTTCATTTCCTTTGAAGTGAAGTAGATGGTAATATCGTATTCAACATAGTGGCCAGAGGGGGTGGCGGATTTGATTTCTTATAAAGATAAGTTGAAGTTACTATCCTATTCAACATAGTGGCCAGAGGGGGTGGCGGATTTGATTTCCTTTGAAGTGAAGTAGAAGGTAACATGCTACTCAACATAGTGGCCAGAGGGGGTGGCGGATTTGATTTCTTTTGAGGTGAAGTAGAAGGTAATATCCTATTCAACATAGTGGCCAGAGGGGGTGGCGGATTTGCTTTCGTATGAAGATAAGTTGACGTTAATATCCTATTCAACATAGTGGCCAGAGGGGGTGGCGGGTTTGATTTCATATGAAGATAAGTTGAAGTTAATAACCTATGTAGCATAGTGGCCAGAGGGGATGGCGGATTTAATTTCTATGAAGTGAAGTAGAAGTAGTATTCTACTCAACATAGTGGCCAGAGGGGGTGGCGGATTTGATTTCTTTTGAAGTGAAGTAGAAGGTAATATCCTATTCAACATAGTGGCCAGAGGGGGTTGCGGATTTGATTTCCTTTGAAGTGACGTAGAAGGTAATATCCTATTCAACATAGTGGCCGCGGATTTGATTTCTTATGAAGATAAAAGGAAGTTATTATCCTCCTCAGCATAGTGGCCAGAGGGGATGGCGGGTTTGGTTTCGTATGTATGAAGATAAATTGAAGTTTATAACCTATGTAGCATAGTGGCCAGAGGGGGTGGCGGATTTGATTTCTTATGAAGATATGTTGAAGTTAATATCCTATGTAGCATAGTGGCCAGAGGGGGTGGCGGGTTTGATTTCTTTTGAAGTGAAGTAGAAAGTAGTATTCTATTCAACATAGTGGCCAGAGGGGGTGGCGGATTTGATTTCTTTTGAAGTGAAGTAGAAGGTAATATCCTATTCAACATAGTGGCCAGAGGGGGTTGCGGATTTGATTTCCTTTGAAGTGACGTAGAAGGTAATATCCTATTCAACATAGTGGCCGCGGATTTGATTTCTTATGAAGATAAAAGGAAGTTAATATCCTCTTCAGCATAGTGGCCAGAAGGGGTGGCGGATTTGATTTCTTATGAAGTGAAGTAGAAGGTAATATCCTATTCAACATAGTGGCCAGAGGGGGTGGCGGATTTGATTTCCTTTGAAGTGAAGTAGAAGGTAATATCCTATTCAACAGAGTGGCCAGAGGGGGTGGCGGATTTGATTTCCTTTGAAGTGAAGTAGAAGGTAATACCGTATTCAACATAGTGGCCAGAGGGGGTGGCGGATTTGATTTCTTATGAAGATAAGTTGAAGTTAATATCCTATTCAACATAGTGGCCAGAGGGGGTGGCGGATTTAATTTCTTTTGAAGTGAAGTAGAAGGTAATATCCTATTCAACATAGTGGCCAGAGGAGGGTGGCGAATTTGATTTCTTAAGAAAATATGTTGAAGTTAATATCCTATGGAGCATAGTGGCCAGAGGGGGTGGCGGGTTTGATTTCTTATGAAGTGAAGTAGAAAGTAGTATTCTATTCAACATAGTGGCCAGAGGGGGTGGCGAATTTGATTTCCTTTGAAGTGAAGTAGATGGTAATATCGTATTCAACATAGTGGCCAGAGGGGATGGCGGATTTGATTTCTTATGAAGTGAAGTAGAAGGTAATATCCTATTCAACATAGTGGCCAGAGGGGGTGGCGGATTTGATTGCCTTTGAAGTGAAGTAGAAGGTAATATCCTATTCAACAGAGTGGCCAGAGGGGGTGGCGGATTTGATTTCCTTTGAAGTGAAGTAGAAGGTAATATCGTATTCAACATAGTGGCCAGAGGGGGTGGCGGATTTGATTTCTTATGAAGATAAGTTGAAGTTAATATCCTATTCAACATAGTGGCCAGAGGGGGTGGCGGATTTAATTTCTTTTGAAGTGAAGCAGAAGGTAATATCCTATTCAACATAGTGGCCAGAGGAGGGTGGCGGATTTCATTTCTTAAGAAGAGAAGTTGAAGTTGAGAGTGTCGCAGCTTTCATGGAGTGGCAAGTATTCAGAAGCTGCTTGTTCAAAATATGGTTTACTCAACTGTGTCTGAAGAGTCCCAACGTCACAGTCTGTCTGTTGCCTCAGTCGAAACGCACCTGCTCTCGTGTGTTTTTTAGTTTCTGATTTTCTGGTTTTGGTTTCTGATTCGCGGTTTTTGGTTTCTGATTCGCGGGATTTTGGTTTCTGATTCGCGGGAGTTTGGTTTCTGATTCGCGGGATTTTAGTTTCTGATTCGCAGTTTTTAGTTTCTGATTCTCAGTTTCTGATTCGCGGAGTTTTGTTTCTGATTCGCGCATTTTAGTTTCTGATTCGCGGGATTTTTGGTTTCTGATTCGCGGGATTTTGGTTTCTGATTCGCGGATTTTAGTTTCTGATTCGCGGCTTTTAGTTTCTGATTCTTTGTTTCTGATTCGCGGTAAGTTTCTGATTCGCGGTTTGTTCCCAGTGCCACATCAGCGGGTAGGCTTTCCATAGCGAGGCAAGAGAGTTGCAAAAGATCTACAGACATACTTCAGCCAATGCGTCAAGGCCATCTTTGGTCTACGGAAAAAAAATGTCACCAAACGAAGGAGAGCCACATGTCGCTCGCTGACCCCAAAAGGCTGAAGCCACCGGCAAATTAACCGCCCAAACCAAGCTGAACTCCAAGTGCAAACAGGAGCAGGAAGAGAAGGGACGTCAGGGCCAAGCCGCTCACTCACCAAAGCGTCTCAGGACTGCACGGGCACTCCCGCGCTGAAGGGCAACTGCCAAAGACTGGAGGAACCATTCGGTCTCAGTGGCAACGCTTTCATTTGACCAGGCCGCTGTTGCTGCAACCAGCTCCTTCCAAGTCTTGATGGCAATGGGCCCTCAGCCCCCAGGGCAGGCTTCCGCAACCAAAGGCAAAAATTGGAACCCCTCTCAGCTGTGCACGTGGGCAAAGCGTGGAGGTGTTGGTTCTTCTGGTCCTCATAGTCACCGGCAGCACGGCTACCATCGGCTGTGGCTGCTGCAGCTTGCCCCTGCCGAAGGCCACAGGTCACAGCCAGGTCAAAAGCTGCCGTGCAACCCCGAGGAAGGGATGCAGACATCGGCTTCGCGGCGACCGCTTTGAACGGGAACCATCCTCCGGCCCACCATGCTCTTCGGGGCGAGGTGGGAGAAGCCCACTTTTTTCAATTTCAGGGCTCAGGCCAGCCACCTGCTCGGGCCGCAAGCACAGAACGGAGCCGTTTCGGGTCACCGCCACATGGGCACATGCGGGCGCGGTCACCGAACCAGTCCGCAATGCTGTCACACAAGGGGCATGCGATGTCTTTGTGTCAGACAAAGCCAGCCGCAGCCGTATGCGAACCAGGACCTTGAAAAGCGGGCTGACTGGGTGGCAACTGCTCGGTCCACCGCCTGAGACAGCTGCTGCTGCTGCTGCAAATGGTTGGGAGGCGGAGGGACAGGGAAGGAGTCAGCAGCGCACACCACCTCATTAACAGCCCGAAAAGCTTCATCCAATGGAGGAATTTGAATGTAGTTCGCATCTAAAGCCAAGCACAAATCAGCCGTGGCGGCCACAGACGCAGTGTAAGCAGCTGCCCCATGCAGAGCTGCATGCCGCAGACCAAGGCCGCCACTAGCAGTTGCCAAGCCTGCTTGTAGCAAAGCACGATGGGTCAAGGGCGACTGCATCAAAGGCAAACAGCGCCTCGGCTACCGCCGAGGTGCGTGACCCATGTAATGTAAGCCACCTCGCAGAAGGAAGCACACTGCATGCCTCAACAGAAGCAAGCTCGCCTGAGCATCAGCAAGGGCTTCCAAGGCCGCAAAGGGTACCCGGCCTCGTCGACCCGGTGAGCAACAGCGTGATGGTTGCAGAAAGCCGCAGGGCCAATCGGCGCGCCCAGGAGAGCGAAAGAGCCCGTAGTATTGTACGGCAAGTGGGGCGGGAAGACGTTCAAATCAACAGCAGCTTGGTCACCACCGCACGCCACCAGCTCGCACTTTCTGGGGTTGACAGTAAGGCCAACCTGACGGACGGACTGCAGCCATCAACCGAGCCAACCCGGCAGCAACTTGCGAGGTAGAATCTGCCAAGCACACGGCGTCCAGGTACCGAACACCAGATAAGGCTGCAGGTCGCGGGCACCCTGGCGAACCGCAAGCAGGCAGGGCTGCAGCCTGCAGCACCAGGGAAAACAATAGAGGCCCAAGGGGATCCCCCTTTTAAACCCCAGCTTCCGAGCTCACAGCAGCGCCGTGAAAAAGGAGCCGGGAATAGCTGCCATAGCACCACTTGGCCCAAGCAGCCAAGCCAGCAAATGCAAGCGAACCTCCCGAGCACGGCCCCCCGATCTACAGTGTTGAAGGCGTTGGAGAAATCGACTTTCAAGAAAACTTGGTCAGGGGCTCCGGCATGACGTTGCGCACACTGCCGCGCAATGTGGATGGCAGCCTCGGCCCCCAGTCGGGTACTTGTAAAGGGCAAATCCTGCGCTTCACTCGTGAAGGCATCACACAAGCACTTCGCTGCCAGCCGGCGCCAAGTGAGGAGCCAGTTCCAGGGGCGCCGCCCCCTCTGGATCACCGCAGTCAGCTGCACAGCAACTTCGTCCACATGGCAGGAAGCTATTGCTTTCCGGAGGTGGTCACCAGGAAGGCCCGAAGGTCCAGCGTCTGACTGCACCATGCTATCGGTGGAAAGCTCCCGGACGGCCCCGGCCGGGGGTGGCTCCAGTGGAAGGAGCGGTGCCCGAGCAGGGCTGGCTCTGGGATGTTTGGCTTTCAGCTTGGCTCAAAACCAAAAGGAGGAGCCCCATCATCCGCAGCATGGTGCCGACGTTTGCGTCCTCTCGGCGGAGGCAATTCCCAGAGCTCTTCCCGTTCACCTTGCAGCCACCGGCCACCGGTTGCACCGCCGGATTGTGAACTGGCATGCCTGCTAAAGGCTGGGGGCCGCAGCCGCGGGGGGCAGGCCGAAGCACAGCTTTAAGAAGCATTCGCCATGCTTGCGGAGAGTTGTCAGCGGCAACACGCCCCAAGGCCTGAGCCAAGCATTGCGCCCAGGCCCCCCCGAGCTCCTTTGGGCACATGCCGAAGGACTGGGACAGGGAAAGCCAAGATGGCCGCCACCCACACCGACTTATGATCGTGGGGCTGTCTGATCCGCTGATCCGCTGATCCGCTGATCCGCCGTTGGTCCAGACGATATGGCGATCATGAGTGAGCCCACCACCAGAATCTGATGCAGCACGGGCGGCCGGCGGGCGGCCGGTCGACAGCGAGGATGGCTGCCATTGTAGCGCGCCCTGAATGGTCCAGGTTGCGGGCCGCACAATAAGCCAATAGGCAGCGGGCACAGACATGAAGAGTTCCGGCAGCATGGTCATCATCCAAGTGGGGACGCATAGCCGCATGCGAGCCCCACCCTCGCAGGGTTGGAGAAGGGGCATGCACTCAGCCACCGGGCAGAAAATGCGCCGTGCACGGCTCAGGTTCCCATCATCCACCTCCATACGGATGGCCGCTCCCCACCCAGCGGTGTGCCCGGGGCGGGCGCAGGGTGTGATGCCTCGCCAACGCGAAGCCCCCGAAAGGCTAGGCGGTCCAGCGGCTGCCGAGGAGCGGTTCAGGAGTTGCGTGTGCCGCGGGCGCTGGAAGCGATTGATGCCGGGTCAGCCTCCATGGCCGGCCCACAGCCGCCGCCAGCCCGCAGATCAGCCCAGCGAACGCAGCAACAAAACCGGAAGACAGCACCATGGCTCAGTCACTCGTGAATGTGGATATAGATGAGATTTAGTTTGTCGCTGACCTTCAAAAAGCTGATGCATTCAAAAAGGCTCCGGGCAAACAGAAACACACGAAGCGCTCAAGTTTGAGGTGCAACAAGAAAACCCTGAAGCTGTATGGTGCTGCAATGTGCTGCATATCTAATTCTTGCTCGACCTCTGAGCAGCTTTCAGCGTGGCTGGATTTCCAATGAATTGGCTAGAGTTTCACAATATTTGGACGTTCAAATTTTGTTCCAGTATATTCGTCTAGCCGACTCTAGCCATCTTGCCTCTGTCTTGCCCTTCGTGCCTCCGAAGCACGGTGTTCCGACGCCCGAAGCTGGACCTTGCCGTTGCCAAGGTGAAACATGGCATCCCAATGCGGTACACAGCGAATCTTCAAGTAACATTTAAAAAAATGTGTGCGTTCGAAAAAACAAATATCCAACATGTTTTGCACTGAACGTGCGCATATACATGTATATTTCAAATGTCAAATGTCCTATGAAATATATGTCATATGTCAAATGTCATTTGACATATATCATATGTCATATATCAGACATCATATATCATATATCAGATATCATATGTCATATATCAAATATCAAATATCAGATATCAAAGATCATATATCATATATCATATACAAGCACCGTACTTAAGTCACATCAGGCGGGAAAAGCCACATCATCCCCATGGCACGGCGGCGATACAGAAAAGTCACATCAGGAAGTGGAAAGTCACACCAGGGAAGAAGAATCACCATGGCACAGCCTGTTTCAACTATAATTGGAGATTTACTTAAAAGTAGCCGAAGCATTGCGCACAGCGATGATTTTGAAGGGCACAAGTTAATACAAACAAATTCTCGGCAGCTAATCCCAATAGATTTGAATACATTATAGTGATGTCCTGCGTATCAAGCCCTATTGGTACAGCCTCAAATTCCTTGCAATGAAAATGGGTTAGCTGTGGCAAATCCTATTGGCAGGGCTATGATCTAGGATGATATAAGGATATGGGGGGGCCCTGTTTTCCGCAACCAAATCTATGGCTGGCGCGATGTGCAGCAAGGTCGCGGACAGTTCTCAAGAAGTTTG